TCGATGAAAGTTTTAGTGTTCTAGATTTTTTAATTAACAACTAGTTTACAACCATCTCCCTTTTACGATGCCAGCAAATTCACCAGATATCGGAGAGGAAATAAACTCAAATCACCCTTTTTATCTTCCTTTGATATGACGGCTAGGGTTTTTTCTCTTATTAGTGAACTAGCATAAATCCAAACTCAATAAAACAACTACGTTCACTTAAGACAGTGTTATTTTACACATGTTTGCAAGATATGACCATAACAAGTGCATGATATATATATATATATGCGCATACACACACATCATTCTCAATACCAAGAATAATGATTCAGATGACTCAAACATAGAATATCAAGATTCATCTCTTTATTAGTGATGAAAATTGTAAACATAATTGTAATTGTAAACTCAATAAAAATAATAGTGTATGATTGGAATCATAGATTATGTAGAAATTGTGGTTAGGTTTAGCTAATTATAACATCTCCATTAGTAGGAATGAGATACTCTTAACAATTTTTTACTAATCTAATATTTTTATTCTAATTGACTTTAGTTATGATATTAAAATTAATGTTTGAAAATAAAATTGAACAAATTAGGTAGAAACAAATGTGATTTGGGTCTCTCATGAATATCTCATTTGAGATATGCGTTTTTCACTCTCTCTCTTTCTTTTTTAATTTTTTATTAATATTTTTACATGAGTATTTCATTAGATATTTTTGATGGAAATGCTCTTAACTCTCAAATTTACTTATGTCATATTAGTATCATTGTTTTGTTGAGCTAGTATCATTGTTTTGTTTACGACTGATTTTGTTTGTGGCTTAAAATTGAAAGGTCGTTATGCACATTTTTATGCTTTCCAACTCATGCAACTGCCACAGCAAAAGCATTGGATGCATTTTTGTGTGTGATGAACTACTCAAAAAGAAACGTAAAGTATATCGTATATGTTTTAACTCTCTCGATTAATTAGACAATTATATAGTGACATAACATGGGTAATAGCTATAGCATGAACTTATTATTTTATGATGGACATAGTCGATGAGTTATTTTTGGTTAAAAACCTTCTTACTTCATATAGATTTTATGTCGATAACTATACATTTCTTATGTTATTGTGCCAGCTTATCTGCAAATATATTTTGGTGTGAGTCAAAATATTTTCTTTTTCTTGAAAAGAAGAGTCAAAATGTTCTTAGCAAAATATATAGATATTGAGTAATTGCATAAGTAATGAGGTAGGTGAAGAAATAGCTGTATAATGTATACTAGTTCCATCATATTCCTACTTTTACACCACCATTGGTGAAACATTTATATGTCTTCACAAGAACTCTTCATATTTATTTATTTTAAGTTGGAAATTTCTAATCCAGACACTTTTCTACTTATTTAGAAAGAATGTATTAGAAAGCTAACAGAAACT